CCCCCCCCCCCCCCCCACACACACACACACACATATCTCCGGCCCTGGTTAAACTAAACCATCACACGTTGTATAATTAGTCACCAAAAACATAAAAATGTAGTTGCTTTAATTTATCCAATGATGTCATTAAAAAAATTGTAGGTATTTAATGCCATTGCATTCATATACACAACTATGTGTGAAGTACACAATCGTCATGTATTTTATTAAAATGACTTGATAAGTAAATGCATTTTTAAGATGTTGTCCAAATTACCTCTTGAATGTATTGCACAATGAAGGGAGATGCTCTGAGATTGTCCACTGGACATTTAAAGAATCCTTGAATCTCTTTTGAATGTAAATCCATTGTTATTAATCCAGTGAGACCTGAAACAAAACATCATTGATTCATTTTGCCAATACTTCGACAACTTTTTCTTTATGTTTAACTTTACGTATCTTAGACACAAGTTTAGTTTTCTATGGTTTTTCAGGGGACGTACGAACCCTGATGACAAAATACTCAGGGTGCTATAATTTGCGTACTTACGTACCGGAGGTACGCCAATATTACTGTCTGGTACTTCTTTGTTTTCAGCCACGTAACTCTTGCTATCTGCGTACTTATTTTTTTCTTGTAGCACATGACCTTTCCAAGTCCAAGGTATTCAATACCGTAATTTAGTTGGTATATCATGTGTCTGAGATGTCTTGGCATGAAACATGATTGCACTGATGGCACTAAGAAACATTGGAGTCGGTTGTTTGAAATAGCAAAACTCCCGTTTCAAATAGCAAAACACCCTTTTCAAATAGCAAAACTCCCGTTTCAAATAGCAAAACACCCTTTTCAAATAGCAAAACACCCTTTTCAAATAGCAAAACTCCCGTTTCAAATAGCAAAACTCCCTTTTCAAATAGCAAAACACCCTTTTCAAATAGCAAAACTTCCTTTTCAAATAGCAAAACTCCCTTTTTAAATAGCAAAACACCCTTTTCAAATAGCAAAACACCCTTTTAAAATAGATCCTGATCGCACCCTGAATACTACTTATACTAAACCCCTCATTTTCTTTCTCTTCACTTTGAGGACTTTTACTCACAAGCTTAGCTAAACTGTGTAGAATATCCTACAAAAACACACTAATGAAAACAAGAGCTGTCAGGCTACCTGCTCCACATAATAAATCTGCTATTAGCCGTGATGGGATTGAACCTCGATTTCTCATTTTACTTTGCTTGGAGTAAGGCAGATATGGAACGACTCCAATTATTTTCCTAGCAGAGGACGTCTTGCACGCGTAACATGTGATTAATAATTCCATCAGGGCGTCATTCACGCTCATGTTTTCTCTGAAAAGAAATATTTAATCAATATATGGTTTTGTGAAACTCGTTTTAAAATAATTCATGAAAAACAGAAATGAAATCATGAGCTTGAAGGATTTTGTATAATTATCTGATACAACATCATGCTGATTTTCATAAACTTTAAGTTCAATTTTCTCCCCAAAAATCATTCATTTATTTCAAATTGTTAATTAGAATACAAATGTTCTCATCAAGACGTTTCTCGCCTCGACGGCTTGAGTTTGTACATCCAATACAACACGGCTGCTCATGTTGTGGATAGTACATACAGATATGATTAGAGGTACTCAATTGCAAGATGGTGCTAAAAAGTAAACCTTTGGGGGGGGGGGTATTGGACAATGTAAGGGTTCTTACTAGTAGGGGTATGGAGGTGTAGTGTGGTGGTATTGTAGGAGTATGGAGGTGTAGTAGGGGTGTAGTGTGGGGGTTTGAGGAGGGTGCATTGATGTGGTAGGAGCGGGTGGCTGTCTGGCTGAGGACTGACAATGGAAATATGGTGTTTGTCTTTGGGTTGTTCCAGAAAAGATCCAGCCTGCCCCCAAGAAGGAAATTTCTACCATCCGGAGGGGCAGGGGAGAAAAATTTGTTTCTGATAATAGTAAGCGTATTAGGCCATCAAAGGGGGTAGGGGGGTTAACTTCCAATTTCCTCCGTGGAAAAGGTATGGATGTTTTCTGGAATGACACATTACTCAAATACAAGAACTTACGCTGCACCGGACTGCAAAATAAAGACATCCTTGCCACGAACAGACGTGCTGATATCAACTGTTGTTTCTACATAAGAAGAATTTTTTATCACATTTTCACTATATAAGCCTCAGTGCAGTGAGATTAGCTATAAGATGCATCATCTTTCAGTCAAATAAATGTCTTCTAATTAGTGTAAACACAACAAGACAGTTGATGTCCAGACAAATTTGAGCAAAGTTTGTTGTATGTATCCGTCACCAGTATAAATTGGGCCATTCACTTTATTCCTTCTTTTACACCTCAATCAATTTGTCATGTTGCTCATCAGTGAAAGACCGTTGCAATCACTGATTTAACAAACCTCTATTATCAGGTTCTTCTCCAACATGGATGTCTGCAAGTGGTGCTTCTAAACGACTAGAAATAGATTACAGAATGAAAAATTTTGTTAACTTGATTGTAGAGCTGTGCGGTTAACCGAAAAATTCGGTTCTTCCGGTACTTTTTTCAGCACCGAAAAGCTATACGCAAAAAACCGGTAGTTTCGGTTTTAATTTCCCGTTTAACGACCACCTGATTGCAGGTTGAAATGTTTGGAAAATAACAAGATTGTGCTCTTTGTGCACAATATGCACTGTAATAAGTGCTCAAATAGTTGATATTTTAGTTGTGATAGTTATTTTTGTGAACTTGCTTTAATTTTTTTAAAAACTAAGAAATATTACAACTTCATAAATAAATTCCAATTGTTCTTTTAAAATATTCAAAGATTTATACAAACTTACAAAGGCATAAATTCATCTATTTAGTAAAAATGCTCGAAACATACATAAATGAGTTCATACATTTGTACTGTTCTTCTTTTTTGAAAATAACCGAAACCGAACCGAGGTTTTTTGTTCCAAAAAAACCGAAACCGGAACCGAGATAAAATTTTTGGAACCGCACAGCTCTACTTGATTGGATGTGCTGCAGTGCTGGTTGATTCAATGGTCTGAAGCAATTATATGCAGAGCATCTGTTTCCATATTATCCCTGCAACCCTGCTTATATATAAATCAATTCAAAATATCACCATACCCCAGGGAAATTTAACTTTTGAAAATTTGATTGTTCAAATTTAACAGGCAAATCCCCAACCCTTTGCCAAGGAAATTTAAATGAAACTGTCAATACAGAACAAAAAAATCCACATTCTACTGTATTAATATTTTTACAAAGTGACTATATGACTGGCAGCCGGTCACGGTTTATCAAATACTAAATGGCCGTCAGTCTAGTGACTATAGTTAAATATAAAAAGTTTTGTTTGCGTTAGCATTTACCAAGCTTGCGGTTGGCGTATTCGGCAAAGGCACTGCGTGTGGAAAGTGAAATGCAGTCAGGGTCGGGATGTATTATGTCTGATTTAGCACTGTTTTTTCTTAAAATTTTTTAAACTCTTTTTTCAGAACTCTGAAAAGGTTAGGGTTGGGGGTCAAGGTTAGAGAAGGGTTTGGTTTATCTTATAAAAATTCAACTTTAACAATAGTCACTGTACTGCCGGCCATTTAGTATTTGATAAACCGTGACCAGCTGCTGGTCATATAGTCACTTTGATATTTTTAATAAGGTTAGACCAGAGTATAGTCAATGGGATGGGTAAAGTAGTTGCCAATCTTTTCTCAAGTACTGTATTTATACTGTAACATAAACAAATTTCACAAGCCTCAGTATTAATTCTATCCTCAAACATTTCAAATCTATAGTAATCAACATTTCAAAGTAACTCATTATATCAAAGTTATCACGCATGGATGTCATGGATGGTAAGAGCTCACTGCCGAAAATGTGCAAACTCATGATTTAGACACAAATTCTGCAGGCCAAACATATTTACAGTCTGGGGTCGCCGCTCAGTGAGAGATAATTTTGGCTGCCCGCTGAGCAAATGGAATTTAACCCTTCCTCCACACACAACTTACATGACATTATTGACATGTTCCTTGTTTCCTAATATTTTCCCCATAATAGTTTTGTTCCCGTTGCAAATTTGCAAAATTGTTCCATGAACCTCGATCAACACAGTTCGCTAGCACATGCCACATGGCAAAAATCTTCATATTAAAACCGACAACAACGATATCAAAGCTTATTTTAAGTACTCCTGCATTGTATCTTTATTCTTACCTTGCAATTTTAGCAGCCAGATCTTTATTTGAGTTCAAAGCAAAGAGAACAAAATTTGGCTTTGCGGACGCCATAATTTCGAAGTAGTAAGTGCTGTCTTCCGGCTGTTGTTTCTAGTTCAAAAACCCCGCTTCTGTTACAGCCTTTTCAGAGTTTTACAACAGCTTTTAGACATATATTACTCAAGTTTTATCCAAAAAGTAGGAAAACAGTCTTAAAAGTTCTTAAATAGCATCGCTTTCTCTGCTAGAATTATGTAAAATTTCATTAAAAAATGGCGATCGATTATTTTTCAAAGCCTACGGAAATTATTTATCAGGAGGGGGGGGGATGGCGATTATTTTTCAGGGTGGGGGGATAGAAATTATTTTTCAGGGAGAGGGGGGGGCGATGGCGATTATTTTTCAGGCAGGGGGGATGGAAATTATTTTTCTAGGGAGGGTGGATGGCGACTATTTTTCAGGTGGAGGATGGCAATTATTTTTTTCAGGGTGGGGGGATGACGATTGAACCACAGACCCAACTGCGTCTGCGAATTCTACGTCTCAATTGTTAGCTTACAAATGGTTGAATAGGATTTTCTAATATAATTCATCGATAAAAATAAGCATCACAACAACAGCAAATGTGACAACAACAAATACAACAATAACAACAACAACAGCATTGCGCAAATACATGTATGCTTTATCGTATATGATGGTACTATTTTTACCCAGGGGCCAGTTGTTCAAAGCTGGAATAACTTAACCCAGTAGGTTATCCTAAAATTCAAAGCAAACTTCCTATTACAGAGTGTTTATAAATTTGAAAATATTTCTTCGGAAATCTTGTCTGGATCAGTAAGAGTTTTCTTCTCTGACGTTTTGAAATAAACAGAAGTGCAGAAATACATAAACTAAAACAGCAGGTTCAATTTTAACCTAGGGTTAGCGTTAATCCAGCTTTGAACAACCGGCTCCAGCACGTCTGTTTACCAGTATATGTTGTTCAACTCGGTGTGATGGTCACAGGCTATTATTATTAGGCTATTACTATATTTTTATAAAAACAGAATATATTAAAGGCTTTGATCACAAAAAACCCCTACACATTTTCTGCTATATCATCCCTCTGCAACTAAATTCTCACATGGTCATAGCTCGTTGTGTGGCCCAATTTTCTTGTCCAGTGTAGCATGTAGCTTCTTGATCTAAGAATAAAATTGTGGATATTATTTGCTTTCTTTCTCCAATGCTCTGCTACTCTGAAAGCAGAAGTAATAGTCAGCAGCCTAGACCCCTCCTATTTATATTTCAGCGCTCTTGTCACCTGTCAAGTACAGGCCCTAGGTCATCAAAATTTAAATCTACCTGGGCGGAACAAATGATGTTAATCTTACGTGTCAGGGGCCGGCCATTTCAAAACTCTGGAAAATAAAACTTCTATTGGAAAACTATCTTTATGTTTATAAACAAGTTGTTGAGAAGTTTGCTTTGAAATTTTCGTTAATAACCTGGGATTTGAACAACCTGCATGGTTTTGAACAACCGGGTGCAGATATTGAAAGTTGAGAATGAGTGACACTGTACAAAATTTTTCAACAATTATATTCATCACTGTGATCGATGGCCTCAATGCCGGACCTCCAGGGTTTCAGATTTTATCAAGTTGTTTAGTCTGCTGTTTTGGCCTGGGTATGCAACAGTTACTTACATATCTTCTGTGTTCCTTTACTTTAGTGGACAACTTTTCATGTTTTTGTTTTATATGATTATGACCCTGATTAAGCAAGTCTTCTGCAACGTCCAGCTGTTCTTGTAGGTTGTCATGTTTGGCTATCTTGCTATCAAAATGTCGCAGCTCCTCCTAGAATTGACGGAAATATTTCTGATAGCAGAGAGTAAAAAAATTATTCTGAGTCAGTGCGAACACAACTGGTCGACAGCTTGTTGGCAGACTTGCTACAATATGTGAGGTTTTTACATGTGTACCTCATATACAAGATTAAATCACTTACTTTCATGATTTCTAGTTCCTCTTCTGACAACCCCCCAGCCTTGGCTCTCTTCCATAAATCACGAACACGATGGTCTTGAAATTCCCCTTCTTTAGCTCGTTCCAAGACCTTCACTTTCAACCGGTGATAATTACGATCAACCTCCTGCTGCTGCATGTTCATCTCGTCTCGTAACTTCGAGATGCCTTCCTCGTCATGTGGGACATTGTTGCCCACAAGGTTGTTGTCTCTGTCCTCGTGTGCCGAAACTAAGCTGACTAGATCTCGGTATTGTTTCCATTTCTCGTGATGGTGGGTTAATTCTTTACGTAAATCTTCTAATTCTTCTTTGGTAAATTGTGCTATATGAAATGAATCATAGATGGATTTTCAGATTTTGCTGAAAATTTGGTGGAGGGAGGGGGAAAGATGTGCAAGGGGGTGCAGCACAGAACAAGCTGCAGTGCAGGGGTGCTAGTGGGGATATGGTTCGGGTGAGGGGGTAAGCCACCAGGAAATTTTGATTTTTGGTCTTATTTAGTTAAAAATCGTTATTTTAACCAGTCATTTCATCCAAAAAGCATTTAATTTTTTTGGGGGTGGGGGTGAAAACTTCTCTAGGTGGGGTGGAAAACTTTTTGAGCGAGTGCAAAATGTTTGGGGGTACACACACCTCTGCACCATCAGAAAATCTGTCTATGGTATAAATAGTCAACTTTCAAAAAGTGTGAAAATTGATATGAAATGTTTTGTTTGGGGCCTCCAATGTCATTCCATATCTTATATGGTTATTAACACACTGAGCGGCAGCACTCTCCCCTTGACAAATAAAATTATCTGGCGTTAGACAGAGTAAAATAATATTAGTAGGGCGCTTAAACGTAGCATAAAGTTTCTACAAATCATGATATACCTTCACTTTTAGCGTGTTCCCACAATTTCTCCAGCCTTTCGTCTTTGACAAATGATGCACTCTGCACTCTATTCGTTTCAATATGATCACCAGTCTCTGTGGGGGGCTCCTCCTCATCCCCTCCCATCAACCCATATTTATCCATAATATTTAACAAATTCCGTCTAATAACCGCTTCCAGTTCGCCTAGTTTGTCCTTCCCCTCTTCTTTCTGATGTTTCCATTTTCTCTCGTCCTTGTCTTGCCGTTGTAATTCAACGAACAGTTCGTTCAACGTCTCTTGGGCTAACCCCATTCGCTTTGCCTTTTGCCAAAGTAGGGTGATTTTTCGCATCCGAAACGGCGGATTTTCGTTGATTTCTGAACCCTTTGAGACGGGAATGAAAGAAGAAACAAGCAAGCAATAAAAAAGAGCTGAAAATATGCTCTTCATTGTTGTAAAAGTGGTAAAATTTAGGAAATAAATTCAAATTTTATATTATACTCAAATTGTCATTGTTGTTGTATTGTAGGCTTTGTAGCCTCGTTTTCACGCTTTCTTTGCGCGTCTAGAAAAATATTGGCACGTCATGCGTACAAAATGTTAATTTTTGTTTTCAAACGCACAAGTTGTTACAGGTCTGCAAACAAGTTGTTACAAATCTGTTCACAAGCTGTCAACAAGTTGTGTTCGCATTGCTTGTTCCCAGTTGCAGGGCCGCAGAGAGGGGGGGGCAGGGGAAATTGCCCCGGGCCCCGAGTTGCTGGGGGTCCCTGAAAATTTTTTGTTGGGCCCCAGCCTTTTTTGTGTGTTAAATATTTCCGCGCAAAGGACAAGAGATCTGTTTTCTTGGTTTAAGTACCGAATTTTGGCATAAAAAAAATGAGATAAAGTCCCTGGAAAGCAATTGCAACGTACTCGTCCGGAAAAATTTTGTACTCCGGAAAAAATTTTTGACCCCTAAAATGGTACACTGACCGAAAATTTTTTGGCGACAGGGGGGAGGTTGTTCTCCGGAAAAAAATTTTTCCGGGAAAAATTTTTTTAGATAGGGGCCCCTAAAAAAAAATTTGTCCCGGGCCCCCGCCAACCTCTCGGCGGCCCTGCCCAGTTGTTGTAACAAGTTTGGAACAAGCTGTTGACAACTTGTAACAAGCTTGATGGCATTATCAGACTTGCACAAGGTTATTCTAACAAGTCTGATACAGTCATGATAAAAAAGAATGTTACAAGGTTGACGACACAAGGTTGACGACACAATACTACCATATCATGACTGTATCGGACTTGTTGGAACAACCTTGTAACAAGCCTGATAACATCAACAAGGTTGTTACAAATTGATAACAGCTTGTTCCAAAGTTGTTGACGGCTTGTTGACAAACTTGGAACAAGATGTGAGATTTCTGCGTGTGCACACACGTAAAAATCTCACAACTTGTCAACAAGATGTGTTCGCAGCAGGCTTGTAGCAAGCTTGTCGTCAGCAAGTTGTAACAATGCTGTTATTTTATGCAGTTGCTACAAGGTTGTCACTCACAACTTGTTGACGAATTGTTGAATTGCAGGACGATAACAAGTTGTTGGAACAACTTGTAACAAGTCTGTTGAGCTCAACAACCTTGTAACAAGTTGCCAACAAGCCGTTGACAATTTGTCAACAAGCTGGGAACAAGCAGTGCGAACACATCCTGTTGACAAGTTGTTGGAACAGCATTGCTACAAGTCTGCTGCAGGTTTGTTACAACTTGTGCAAGCTAAAACAAATCAATTTTGAGAGGTACGCCAAAATGATTTTCGATTTTCAACACTTTTCATGGCTCAACTGTGCGCTACTTTGTAATTCTTGTGGACAATATGAATAAGTTCCGCCTATAACTTGTGAAGATATATTTAGTATTTTCAATACAGGCTGTCCCAAAAAAAAACAAACGATTGAAATAACGTATTGTTAGAATTTGAATGCCTCAGCACTCTGCTGAACTCACAAGTGCATAAAAGCTTGACATAAGTAAATTTTACGCATAAAGAAACTGTTTAAGAAGCTGCTTTAAATTCCCAAGAGTAGAAAATGTGCGCTTTACAAAGATATTTTAATTTCTTAATAAGTCAATATTTATAATATATGCACCCTGTCAATATTTTACACATCTTTGCGTTCAGCTAGAGCATTCAAATTCTAACAATACGTTATTTCAATAGTTTTGGGGTTTTTTTGGGACACCCTGTCTGTATTTTGTAATTCTTTCGTGAGTAAATGGAGAACATACGTTTTGGCATGATAACTATGATTTAAAAATTGCAGAATTCTCACACAACGTGACTTCATCCCCCCCCCCTGCATTAGTGAATGTCGCTTCTCTGTGTATAAACAATAAAACCGAACGTGGCTCGTAACGAACAGTGTGTTATTGTACTATTCAAATAGTCTAATTGGAGTCCAGTCTTTATAAATACAATGACATCATCTCCTATCCCGCCGCGAGTGACGATCGTGGTAGCTTCTCTTGTGCCAACCATTGGATGGGGATGAATACCAACCGTCGCTCTAATAGTTTGAAAAAAAACACCAAATAAAAATACTACTTTGACTGAAGTATTGTTTCATGTCGGATTTGTTGGTGGTACAGTGTTCCTGGTCACTACTGAGATACTGTGATCGGGTTTCGATTCAGGGCTTGCGCTTCGGAAAGGAGCGAGATGATCCTTACCTTACCAAAGGTCGAGTCCCAACATAGTCTATTATGATATGATGGTCTGGAATCCCGGTAAAACTTCGAAGCCACAAAATAGAAGACTTTTGTTTCATGTTGAACTGTCCCGTGCGTAATACAAAATGACTGAAAAACGGCAAACTTCGCAGGGCTATATTGCCCGCATTTTACAACATTTCGCAACGAAACTTTGGAATATTACTAATTTTGTGATGCTCTTTCAAGCTAGACTTGCTGCTTCCATTGGATGGTTACTTCATTATACCAAAATACAATGAGCTCAATCACCGTGAAAACATATAACAAACACTTCTGTTTAGTTTCCAGACTACAGAATAAAGATCAATAACAGAAGGGCCACTCAGCGGTGCAACGTGTCCTCGTTTTTTTATGCAAAAATATGCAGTTTACTGGCCAGAAGGCGGAGCAGCCAGCCAGTACAGCGTGTTTAATGGCCAGAAAATGTCATTGACTGGCTAGGAAAATGGCGGTCAACATGCGTAATGCGACATGCGCGGGGACAGAAACTTGTATGGATCTTTATTCTGTGTTCCAGACCATCATATCTTGATAGACTATGGTCACGTGTAGAGTCATTTCACTATCAGGTCGAGTCGAGTCAATGGCTTCACTCGAGTTGAGTCAATGGCTACACGAATTGTATGGTGACCAAAAATGCCCTAAAAAATTCCCTACAAGCGGAAACATGCCTATCGTATATATCTGCATGGAGAATTATTCTTTATTTCTTCAAGCCCTTGAAAAAATAAAGTGTGACAAGTTTTATTTGCTCGTCTGTACGCGCAACTTTGACACTGAGTTTTTCTATGACAAAGAAAAAATTGTCAAAGTACAAATTTTGTTCGTCTGTATGGTCAACAAAGAAAACTTGTCACAGTAATCTGAGCATTTGATGTGATTGGCCAGCTGGCCTTGTTGACACGTTCACACCAGTAAATAAAACTTGTCATTTAAAATTTGTTGCATATACACATGTGCACTTGGCAAATAAAACTTGTCACATAAAAACTTGTCATAGAAAACTTGTTCGTCTGTAACCGGCTTTACGGCAGAAATCAACAAGTTGAATCCGAGTCAATTTGAGTCATTTGGGGCTGCTGACTCAAGACGAGCCATTTTTCAATGATTCGTCTCGTTACAACACTGATCCTTACTGAACTCAAGGGAGAAGACCTTGTGACTAATAGAACTGTCCAATATGAATCTCAGTACGCAAATAGTCGCTGGGAAAGCTTCATTCAATACTCACTCGTATTCTCTTCCTGTCGTATTCCTTTTGAAACGAATTTTGTCCATAATACGAGTGATTGTGAAACTTCTCTTTACTTTTTGTTCGTTTTACCTGTAAAACAACATTGAGTAAAAATAACTTTAATGTGTTTTTTCTTCAACAGTTTCGCCCAAACCTCTCGCGTTAATATAGTACATAAAATAGAAGTGATTGCTAGAGAACGAACCCCTAGTATCCTACAGTGTCACTAACCTTCCCACTATCGTACTCTTCGTCATAGATATCCCGTCTTCTTTTTTTGTTTTCTTCGATATCCCTAACTGCGGCAGTCTCATCTCTTTCACCGTCCCATCTTTCGACTGAAAATATTTATGCAAAAGATGAGATCTCAAACCACGCGCTATATTGTATTCTTATTAAAAACTTAATACAAACGCCCCAGTCAGGGTACATTTACACTTTTGCATTTCATGTTTTTCTTGGTAAAAATTTTGTTCATCCAACCATTAAAAAGTCAAAATTATTTTTTTCCCAACCTCAAGTATCAATTAAAAAGTAATTATCCACCCTGGCCAAAAACGTTACAAAAGGATACTATTCAGTTGTCACACATGTCCTTTACCACTTCTGTGACATGAGTTTGATAACTGCTTGTGTGATTTTCTGTTGTCTAAAGTTTCATGTTGTCTGCACATGTACTTTCTTTGGAGACACCATTTGCCTCCTGAGAAATAGGAAAATGATCAAGATAGTGACTCTGATTGATTGATTGATTGATTTACATATTGTATTGACATATGGCTGTTGACAGTGCTTTTTAGTCTTCAATATTTGAGTGAGTCATGCTTTGAAAATGACAATAAATTTTTATTACCCAGCCCTTGAGTTGTATTGTTTTTCATTTACCCAACCTTTTACTCACTCAAAATTTTGTTTACCCAACCCTTTTCTCTCCCCCCGCCATAAATAATGACCGGCCCCTTTAATTAAAGATCAACTAATTTTCGTTCTGCTGTTTTTAATATAATTTTTAATAATCTTCCACCATTACCTGTACGACCATAGTTTGACGAACTGTGCGAGTTGACCAGCAACGTGTCCACAACACTTTTTCTTTCTTTGCTGTTACGTGATATTTCTGTGGAAATCAAATAATAATTAGTGGGCACTCGGAAACCGCATACCTCATCTGCAAAGAGGGGTGCAGATTTTCCATGGGGTGGTGCATGAGGGAGCCTTACTGCCCACTCTCCTCTGCAGTCTGCCACGCTGCTATCCCAACATTACCATTATCTGAGATGCCGAATCTGCATGTTCGCCGTTCTGTTACGTTTTACATTATCTTTTGTTTGCGTGACTGGATAGTTGCTGTAGCACAGTACGTACATTCAATTTGCTTGTAAAAGTACAGTATATTTAAAAATATGGCTGTATAACATCCTCGACATGTTTACGTATTTAACCATGATATTTAACCATTGAATTTAACTAAAGCATTCTGAGTATGTTCTCGTGAGCTCACAAATCAATTAAATCGTCTCAAGAAATCGACACGCGCTAACAGTAGAAGTTCCGATAATCGCTATTCGAAAAGCAGAAAATGTATTGTCAAGATTTTTTATGATGGTGCTGGACTTCTCTGGGGGTTGGGGGGGGGGGTGTTAGACACCACTAGGTGGGGTGCGATCCCCACGGTAGATCCGCTCGTGAACACAACAGAATCAATCTTACCTTTATGGGAACTGCAAGAATTCACTCTCTTCCCTGTATCCTTTTCACCCCTATTATCCCTAGATGTATCATCATGCGTCCTCGATTCACCTCTGCTATCCTCATCGTGCTCCTCGGAGGAGTCATCAGAATATTGAACCAGACGTTTCCTGTCGCTTTTGTCCTTCTTTCGAGTTTCGAAAACTTTCCCCATTAATTCTTTACCCTTTTCAACAACACACTTCGCACTAACATCTAGTTTTTTCGTCGATTTTGTACGAAATTCATCCTCGTCTGTGCTATGCCCATTCGTTTTATTCTTCTTTTTTGACTTATTTTGAAAACTATCGTTCTCGGTATTTTCAGAACTTTGACTTGTTCGTTCTTTGGATTTCGTCCTGTTAATGTCCCCGTCAAAGCTAGCGCCCCTATTCACTTTTTCGTTGCCTGTTTTTTCGCTCTTAATCTTATCAGAGTCCGAATGTTTTTTGTCGGTTTTATCTTTCGTCTTGCTCAATTTCTTTTCAAAACTATCAGATTTTTTTTCGCTTTCCGAAGGCAATAAACTTTCCCGGTTCGAGTTTAATTCCTGGCTGTTCTCTTCTGTGTCACAGAAGCTTCGCTCGCTACTTCTTCGCTCGCTTTTCGAACTAGATTCCTCCTCTGGATCTCTTTCTCGTTTATGCTTCTTCCTCTTTTTATTTTTCTTGTGTTTTTTCCTTCTTTCCCGTCTGTCATTTTCGCTGTTCGAGTCTTCTCCGTTTTTTCGCTTTTTTGCTTTCTCTAATTTTTTCAAACGCTTCATTTTCTCCCGCCCTCTCTCGTCTTCCGACTCTTCCCGACATTCATCCGATAGGAGTTTCGTTTCATCTTCGGATGTTTTCGTCTTCTTCTTTTCGCGCTTTTCTTTCGAGCGTTTTCGCTTTTTGGGTTTCTTCTGGGATTCGGTTTGCTCAGTTTCCTCAGTGGTTTGTTCGCTAGAAATGAAATGACACGAAACTCAATCACTTTGCCTTTTCACGAGGGAAACCTTGGAAATCCAGAACATTCATGGCCAAATAATGTACTGGAATTCATGAAATGTTGGGGCTCCCTCCGAATTTCTTGCCCTCACAGGTTCATGCATCCCCAGGAACTTCCAAGATCCTCACCCCCACCCTGTGCATTAAGTGTATGCAATATGCCCTTACCAGCCCCCAGTCTCCACCACCACCCACACCACCCCACTTTCCGAAAGTCCAAACTTACTTTCTTTTAATATCTTCAGTTGTCGTTTCCTTCTTGGGAGTTTCAGACACGACCCACCCGGCATGCTGTCGTTCAGGAAGCCTGGGTCCCATATCTTGGGTTGCACTTCGATCTAAAACGGACCACTCCCCAGTCTTGCTCGCCACACTGCCGGGGTTACTGAGCTCAGAGCTCATGGAAGGGGTCCTTTCCCTACCCCCTGGGAACGAAGAGCCGGATAGCAATCCCGTATGTAGTGTCGCGTTCTTAGTGACATTCCATTTTGAGGTGGCGTGAAGATCCTGAGTGTTTTTCGTTTCTTTTGCGATGTCTAGATAACACAATAAAACCAAACGACATTGGAGTGATTCTACTAGCTAATACTGCATGAGGAAACTAGAGTCACACAGAAAATCTGCTGTTAAACCTGGAAGCACTCTTCTTACATGCAAATGAGGCGAAAGACTGATGAAATTATGATATTATATAATCGCTGCAAGCCAGATATATACACTAATACATTTCCCGTAATACAGTAGTTATTATCAAAATAACAAAAAGATTTTACAACAGTACCTGTTTGTTTATATTCATGATTTTTCTCCTTCACAAAACTTGTATTCTGCTGTTTGTTTTCTTCTACAGAGCTGCTGACTTCATTCACTTGTAGTTTTTCATCGATGGTCTCACTCTGTTCAACAGTTGTTCGACTTTCTTGGTTACACTCTTGTGGAGACTTTGTTTCTGAACTCTCCGCCTTGTCCACCTTCGTTTCAGACTCTTTGTTCTCAGCCGTTTGAGGAGGGTTCGGTTTTTTCACTTGTGTTCCGTGGTTTAAAGCGAAGGCTATTTTCTCCCTCTGTTGTGGTATGCTTGTTGGATGTGGGTTAGTTTGAGGTTTCCACGAAGGGTTGGGCCTTTTAGGAAATTGCGAAGCTGGCGGTTTTCCCGCTAAATAAATTTTACAAAAGGGTATTATACATAATGGTCGCTAGCTGTAAGCAACAAAGTATCTCTTTTTTCTTATCTATAATAGTTCATCTAATGCTGTTAACATACACACGTAAAAACGCACAAGTTGTTACAGGTCTGCAAACAAGATGTTAAAAATCTGTTCACAAGCTGTCGACAAGTTGTGTTCGCACTGCTTGTTCCCAGTTGTTGTAACAAGTTTGGAACAAGCTGCTGACAACTTGTAACAAGCTTGATGGCATTATCAGACTTGTTACAAGGTTGTTCTAACAGGTCTGATACAGTCATGATATAACAAGAACGTTACAAGGTTGACGACACAAGGTTGTAACGTGTTGGAACAACCTCACAACAAGTCTGCTAATTATCAACAAGGTTGTTAACTGATAACAAGTTGTTCCATTTGTTAAAAGGTTGTTCCATGAAGTTGTTCCAAACTTGTTGACAACTTGAGACAAGCAGTGCGAGCACAACTTGTTGACGACTTGTTGGCAGACTTGCTACAAGATGTGAGATTCCTGCATGTGTAGGATGAAAAAGACGAACTTTTTCACGGTATGTGGCTATGAAGTATATGCCTGTTTAGGCAAACCTTATAGCTAGGGATGAGCCGATAAGGAAAATTGCCGATTACTGAGGCCGATTATTTATAAGCCGATTATCGTAACTAATCGGCCGATTAATCGGTATCCGCCGATTATTTTAAAAAGCAAGCGAAAAATCACAAATTGACCAACAATGAAGTTGTAAATGCGGTTTTATTGTTTACAGTACACACTATGTACAATTAAAAACAGCTTCAATCTTGCATGTCAATAGTCAAAGTTAAGTTTTGGCAGATTATGGTGTGAAAACAGGATATTGTCAGCTATGCGGAGCTATTCTGCTGCGTTTTTCAGTGGATATGTTCCCAGCTTCACTTCGCTTGAGACAAAAGACACAGGTTTTGCAACAAAATGTGAAAATCTATTCGCTTGTATTCAGTATTCTAGCATGTGCTCGGCAGTTGCAGAAAAAGTCTTATGGCCGATTATGTGCCGATTATCAGGCAATAATCGGCCGATTACCGATTATTTAAAAAACGGCCGATTAATCGGCTTTGCCGATTATTTACCGATCAATCGGCTCATCCCTACTTATAGCCACCTCTAAACATAGTACAACAGCGTTAAATTTAATGATTACATACGTTTCTTTGTTGGTTCGCTGATAACTTTGGGTATGTGTTGTTTTGGGGGATTAAATCCTTCTGTTTTGGTGCCATTTGTCCACGCAGTTCTTACTGGCTGCTGTGTTGCACCAGTTTTCTAAAACAACAGAAAAGACCGTCCCAAATTAATATTCACAAGCTATGATAAGCATCTCTAATGAGTATACAATCCACAGCAAATATACGGTACCTCTTTCTGTGTGTGGTAGTCTTTAATGTAAAAAAGAAGATAGGCTTGTTGCCCTAAAACTGTCTTCAAGCTCACTTGACGAACCTACAAAGAATAGATGATACAGTTGATACCTAGGACGCCCTACAACGAAAAATGGAAGTCCAAAATTCTGGGGGAATTATTCTCAATGATTTCCCTAAACATATAAATATATCTGAAACGAAATTGCTTTGATTTTCAGTATTATTATAATTTGACATTTTGATCTATTTGATGGTGTACCTGGCTGAACGAAAATGTCGGGGTTAAGGGCACAAAACTCACAAAACCAGGGGTGTTTGAAAAATCTCGAATGGTCTTTAGTAGGCTGAATAGTGAGTCTGAGACCCAAACTTCAATGATTTTCCAGAGGAATATGTATTATTGAACCCCCTACTGTGAATGTGTCATAATACCAAAATTGGATGCCCTCTTTGAGGATCCTGGCTAAAAGCCTACTTGATGCAGAACTAATCAGTACCTGCTTGTCGGGAACGTATCTCTTTGAGAACATGAAATTATGGACAAACTTACTGAAGAGTCATTCATTTGATACCAATGATTATTGGCTGCTTTGATAAAACAATAATAATGGCCAGAGTTGCATGAATAACCAGAATGAACAAGTACAGCATATAACTTGTAATGAACAGCCGGACCCTGGTTTTTGCTCATAAAAGGTCGTAGATTCAGCTGCTCCGGGTAACTAATTTCTTTGTTGATTTTTGATGCAAACAAGGAATGGCTATCAAATCTAAAAACAGCACAAACAGATCTTAAATGGTAATACAATATAAGATAAGATACATTTATGGTAATACAATATACAAACAGTGAATTCACACTCAATTTGGGTGTTTTTTCTAACCAAGTCAGAATGGTAAAAGTTGAGATCAGATATAAATTACCTCTTCAAACACATTGTCATAACATTGGGCGCTTGATGGACTCTCAAATTTTTCTTTGCTGGAACTTTCTTTTTGCACCTATAAGATGAATTGACAAATTTGTAGTAGAAATAAATTTTTGCAGGCATGATAAAAATTCATACAAGGTATTTTAACATTCTTGGAATCATATTGACAAGTCGTTAACCCATTAAGTTGCATTGGGAAAGTTTCAATGATAGATCAAAGTAAAAATTTGACATTTTTTGGTTGCTTAGGGTCTACACTTTGTTAGAAAGTTTTTTTCTGTAAAATTGAAACAGTGATAGCCATTCATCTCTGTGTCAAGTACTCTTTCAATGCAATGTTTTGAAAGAAATTTTGTAGTAATTGTAATGAAGGGTAATGAGTTGTAATGAGTTGTACAGTCATATAGTAGTTCATTAATACACTGATACATATGTACACTACATGCATATGTCACGTCATTGACTTTGGCCCATTCTAAGCCATAATTTCCCATGGCAGTTGTGAGCTAGACCACTGCACCTCCTCTAATTTTTTTTCCACCTCCCCCACTATTTCCACCAAAATCCAGCCTTGCCATGAAGCTATCTGCTCGTATGTCTATAATTAACCCACTGAGTTGCATCGCACCCTAATGTGCCCTGTTTTATAACTTTACTCTGTCTAACATTTTACTTGTCAGTACTTGCTTTTACTTCTCAGTCTTGCACTCACTGGGTTAATCAGACTATCTGGTCATGTGTCTAGCTAACCCATTGAGTTGTCTTGCACCCTAATGTACCTACTATCCTGCTTTATTATTTCACTCTGTCTAACACCAGATGATTTTACCCGTCAAGGGGAGAGCATTGGCACTCAATGGGTTTATAGAGGGCCATTTTCACTCAGGAAAATTTTCAGCAGAAAGAAAATTTTGTAAAATGTGATTAGCGGACACAAATTTTCTGTTAGGAAAATTGAAAATTTTCAACTATAACAATGTCATTTTCGGAAAATTTTCTGTCTGTGGAAATTTTTCTTGAGTGGAAATGAGCCTTAATTTAAATGGCATAAAATCATTGCGCAGTTGTTAAACTGCAAAAGGACAATGTATACTTACCTTGGGCACAGGTACATATTGTCTCCGTTTAGTAATTCAACCGAAATAAGTTTGTGAAGAGCATTCACCACTGAATGGGCATGCTAAAATAATAATTCACTTGTTAAACATTTATAAATATAAAATATTGTACTGTTTTATATTTCCACCAGACTGTAATACTGCAATATTCACTCCCTCACCTTGATATCCAACAAAACCTCCATAAGTGGATCATACGTGTTTGACGTGTGATGGCACCTTTCACAAGTAACTACAGAGAGGAATTAAGTGGTAATTGGTAATTTTGGTAAAATGGTAATTTTAGATATCATTGTAATGGAGGGGTTTCAGGTATATTCCAGGTCTAAACATGCCCTTCTTTATTTACTCTGCCAACACCAGACAATTTTACTTGTCAAAGGAAAAACGTCAAGACATCAATTTGGCAAAGTTTCTATTCATATAAAGCCTGGATCATCTTCAATGCAAAAAATAAGATTACATAAAAGATACCTTGGCTTCTGTAGTATCCACCAAATACTTGATGGACCATTGTTGTTGCTTTTGTATACACATCTAACCTGACAAAAAAACAACTATGTTTAAATACAAAAATGACAACTGAATGAGATTCTGTATAAATATATTCATGTCAATGGTCAGCTTCTGAACATGAACAAAGAACATCAAAATAATTACTTCTCCGGTACTCCAGCCAAGCAACTCTTCATCATTCCATCAATGACGTAACGTAGAAACTCATGTGAGTCTTCTTGTTGACCAAATCTAAGATGTTTTGCAATATCTGAATGGAAAGTAAAGAGAATTTGTATCATTAAATTTAAGTGCTGTATTATCATTACAGTCAATTTCACAAAACTTTGACCAAAATGTTCCAAACTTCGTTCTGAAGTTCGTTTTGAAGTTCACAAGTTCAACAGTATAATTCACAAGCCAGTTTGTAAACACAACCTCTGATTGGTCCATGAATTGAAAGACGCCAATCAAATGCTTAGTTTGTGAACTTTACGAACTTGGAAACTTCAAACTTTGGAACTTTGAAATGAACTTGCAAACTTTGAAACGAAGTTCAGGATATTTTGGCAAAAGTTACGTGAAATTGAGTGTAAGGGTTTTTAAATCCACTTTAATTTAACATACCTAACTTTAAAAATACTTAACTGTTTTATTGAATTATGAATGTTGACTTACATTTTAATTTCTGTAAAATGGCTAAAGGTTTGATGGCTTCATGCTGGCTATGTGTAAACGTCCTCTGTACGTGTCGCTGTAGCTCACATAACATACAAAACCCAACCTTAGCACCTGCATTGAGAATATTAAGAAATTAAAAACTAGTTATTTTAAAGATGCAGTACAGTTCATTCTGCATATGCATACATTAAAAGCCAAGGGAGAGGTTTTTATTAAATTGTGAAGACCGAGGGCCGAAGGGCCGAGGTCTTTACAGTTTAATAAAAACCGATACCCGAGGTACACGGCTGTTGTCTCTTTCTCGACTTAGAGACGTGCAGCGTTTTCTAGTCGAAAAGGAGATGTGGGTTTTGAGTTTTCCTGCAAATTCAAGTCCCGAATTCAAGACTCATGCCAGGTCTTGAATTGAAAATGTAAAACCGGGTAACCGGTTATTATTTTTCCGTAATAACCTTCAACCCCACATTTCCCCCGGAGAAATCAAATACCACTGCCTGCTTTTAGATTGAAGATAATTATTATGGATGAGTTAAAAACCGAAAAAATACAAAAGAATATGGTCTGATGAGTTTGTAAACCCTAATAACCCAACGTTATTATTTACTCTGTCTAACGTCAAACGATTTTACTTGGAGCTCAATGGGTTAATTAACTAATTACTGGTGTTCAAATTATCATACATCCTTGGCAATTTACAACCTTGGTCAATCACTACTAACTATAAAATATCGTCACATATAAAGTTGCAAATTAACCAAATTAATCACAAAAATGTGACTAATTATACTCACATGTGTTCGAGTGATCTTGTGATGCTAGGTAATTCACTAACGGTGGCGTGTATGTTAAAACCTGTAGGACCGAATTTAAAAAACATGTGTTACCGAGATTAAACAAACCCGGGCCAACACTTCGAACAGTTTTCCATTGCAAATGGAACTTGTCTTTTTCAAATAACACATGTTTTGGCGCCGGTAGCTCATCTTTGGCTACTTTTCCATTTGCCTCAAAATGCTTCTTGTTCTTCTGAGTATTTTGCCCTTGATTATTGTTATTGTGTTGGTTAACAGGAGTGCAATTTAATGGCGTATATTTCTTCTTTAATTGTTGATAAAATGGATCTGGTTTTGAAGCTTCTTTGAATTCGATTCTATCCAACAGAACTTGTTTCGTAGACGCTGCTACCTTGCGGTCTAAAACCGAAACGAGCTTTTTTTCGATCAAATCTGTCCCTTTCCAAAACTCCTTCGAGTTTGCAGCGATGCCGACGGAAGACATATCGAATAATTCGAAGAGAAAAGCTTCCAAGTTCACTAAAAACTTTTAGATTCGCATAAAATCTGGTACCGGTTTGATGAATAGATTTATTTCAATATGGTTATAAACCAGAGTATAAACCTTCTCACGCGTTGCAAAAGAACGTCGAACTTTGGGACCCAAAATATTTTAATTCCCAGACGTTCCCGGCCCGATCTTGAAACGAACCACATACATAAATATCCGAGAATACATTTTGATAAAAATCTTTTGCGGTAGACAAGCAGAACGGTTTAAAAATCACAAATTCTTGATGGTGTAAAATGTTGAAATTATAAAATTATCACTCCTGGTTGTGTTCCCACGCGGCCGTTGTGACCGGAAGTGGTTGGAAAACTGGGAACTAATAAGAAAAATCTAATTTTATTTTTTCTTTCATTCATTCCATTTTTTCACTTTTCACAATTGAATATTTTCACAACAGAAAATCTGTGCAATCATAGTTGATAGAATAGATGGTTTGGAAACTCATCAGAATAACAATATAACTCATTATCTATGTTAGTCCACGTTTATTCAGAAATCTGGTCGTTCACCGTCACGTGCGTATTGTATTTTTGCCCAACTATAAACCAATAGCAATGTCTTAGGAAAGTTACCTATCCGTGACTCGAACAATAGGGTAAATTGGAAATTGCTATTGGTGGATTGGCAAGAACACAATACACACGTGACGGTAAACGACCATGTTTATAAATAAACGTTGACTAACATAGATGAGTTGTTGTTATTCTAATGAGTTTCCAAACCATCTATTCTATTAACTATGGTGCAATTATAGCCATTCAAAGTAGAAAATATGTCAAGGATAGGCTGTCCTAAATCCCCGTCCTAAATGCACGGAAAGGTTTAAATCTTTGTGAATTTTATATTACTACTAATTCCCTCAAACAAATGCACATTAAATTTATACAGAAAACTAAATTCTGTCCTTTTATTCAATTAGCCTTCCGCACGAAGGCCAAAATCCGCCATTTCGGGGGTACTGTCTGCCCTCGTGAAAGATTCTAGACAATTCAAACAACGTGAAAAGCGACTTTTAAAAATTGTAACTGTAAATTTAGCATTATACAAACAACTATAATACTAAAAAGTTGTATTTCGTGGTGCGGAGACTCTCAAACGTGAGAGAGGCAGTATACCCCCCAAAATGGCGGAAAATTTTATATAATATAAAATAGATAAAATATATAATATAGGTTTGTCATATTGCTATACAAATTAAATTATTACATAACTTAGATACATAATGTTAATATGAATTTTTGATAGTTTTTGTAGAATCATGAACGAATCAGTATTTGATATATTATTGTATATTTAATTCTATATTGATCGCATTAAATGTTTTTGTATTGGGATTTGCACAATAATATTAGTCCAATTATTAAATTATTATTAAATCAAATAAAATCTGCATTTAAAAGGCTAGATTACATCGGTAAAGGTTCTGTGACAATAGTAATATGTATAATATATATTTGGGTCATCTTGCAACCAGGTATATCAATCATGTTTCGCTCGCTACTCTGGTTTAAATAAATGATTACAAAGCCCAGTCGAATTGTAATCGAGACCCAACGTTTCGACACTCCAGTCTAGTGTCTTCATCAGGGGTGATCTAAAATTGCAATCGTGGCTTCTTAAATACCCAAGGGATGACATCATCACAGTAGGAATTTTGTATGGGTAAATTCTACGTTTTGAAGGATTTGTAAGAAATGTTTGAGGAAACTGACTGTGTGTTTAATACTGAATCACTTCCCTCAAACATTTCTTACAAATCCTTCAAAACTTAGAAACTTTGATACACTGTAAACTAGCCTTTATAGTACGTAAAAAACCTCATCTTGCTCAACTTTTTCACCGTCAAAGCTTTGCCTTTCTTTTTTGTTGCTAAAATTCATCTAATGACATTATATCTAGCCTACATTATATCCGATACCTTTGACAGTGAAAAAGTTGATCAAGATTAGGTTTTTCACCATAAATATATATCACATTATATTTGCTGTCTTGATGTAATGTACTCAGGTGAATAAGATGCTTGTGATGTTACAGGTGAATAAGATGCTGAGTGTATATTCACACCGGGCAGGCTTGAAAAATATGCCTGGCCACGGTGGGAATAGAACCTACGACCTTTGGTATACTAGCCCAATGCTCTGCCAACTGAGCTACGCGGTCAGGTCGGTTCGAGTATGTGATATTTCGGAACTGAGTCTAGTTCCTTCGATATCAGTGTAATCTAATAATCATAAGTATGATATTACACCAAGACAGCAAATATCATGATTATTAGATTACACTGATATCGAAGGAACTAGACTCAGTTCCGAAATATCACATACTCGAACCGACCTGACCGCGTAGCTCAGTTGGCAGAGCATTGGGCTAGTATTCCAAAGGTCGTAGGTTAGATTCCCACCATGGCCAGGCATATTTTTCAAGCCTGCCCGGTGTGTATATATACTCAGAGTAACATCACAAACATCATATATTACATTTCTTCTCAGAATGACCCAAATACGTATCAAAAATAATACCCGAGGTTATTGGCACTTATAGCGTTTTGAATAAACCAGGGGTGGATTTATAGGGGAGGGGTACACAGGGGTGCGCACCCCTGTTGGCCTTGGTCAACAGGGGTGCAAGGGGAGTGCAAAAAAATCAAATTCAGAAATATGGCACAAAATTGCCATGGTTTTTCCTTTTTTGACGTCAAACTGAAGCTCATAATTCAATGCCCATATCGCAGGAAATGGCATTTCTGGGGGGCATACCCCTGGACCCCCTAGGGAGCTTGAGCCTTCGGCGCTCAAGTCGTCAGGAAGCCAATTCATTTGAATGCTCTCCCACCACCCCCTAAAGAATTATAAAGAAACACTCGGCTGCTCACCCAGCACCCCCCCCCCCTAGAAAAACCTTGCTGGATCCACCCCTGGAATAAACGTCTTTGAGCATTGAAAAAGGTTAAAACTGTCACATAGAAACTAGCTTCGACAGCGTAAACCAACATTGAATAATGGCAACCATTAGATGGTATAAATATTGTGTTGTTGGATGTGAGAGCTTGTATGATCAGCAGGGTATTTTGGGGATAACCGTTGATCTTCATAGGCCTGTATAGTGAGCTGGAGTGTTAGGTGATGAAGTGGGCACGGCTGCTTCCTTTGATGTTTGACTATAGATGTAAAGAAAATTTGAAAAAGAACTGATCAATAATGAGAGGTTGTAATTGTACTTCACGAGAACGCGGGAAAAAAGGTGACGTATCTGACATTTTGGTGTTTTTTTGCGTCGGGAATGAACAAACTTGTTTGAAATGACATAAAATCCTTTTAAAAATCATTAATAATTCATGAGGAAAAGGCGAACGAAATCACTACCGCCTCGTGTTTTATACTAGAGTTTCGTGTACTCATCGTGTTCCTGCAATGTCTATGTGCGATACTTTTCTTTTAATTTAATTTAATTTAATTTAAACCAAATTATTTAGCCGAAAATTGCCCCAAAATGCTATTTTAAATGCATGTGCACAGCTATCTGACTATGTGCCCAATTACACACACTCACCCAAAGAAGGAAAAGCATTTCAATAACGTAGTTTTACAAGGATTTTCCGACAATTCCGGGATAACACGAAGACTGTAATTTATTAATTTTCTTAAATAACTCTGTAGATGTCTCCGTCTTATTTCTACAAATTTTGCATCTCGATTTCCAAGAACTTTCTTCTGAGGAAATTTAAACTGACTAACGGTTGGATATTGTTTGCTGATCTAGATAATATAGAAAGGAGCAAAATATACCATTGTCCAAGCGCCCTCACTAATTTTTCCCTGCCCAAAATCAATGGGATTTTGTATTAGATATACAAACTCCTCAACGGTCATGATTTCTAACCAAGGCCAACCTTTTTATGAAGACCATAAAAATCTGAATATCTTCTATAAACATTCCATTCATCGTCTTTAATTCTAACATAAACCTAAAACAAATAGATAATAAATTTTAAAAATCTTATTAACAGTTAATGAAAAAATCATGTTTATTTACATAAACTTTTTAGCTTTGATTTTCTCGGCTTATAGACAACATTTATATTTAAAATTACTTCGCCAATGTAGTCTAGATATCTTATATACACTAGATAGCGCATCTCTTTTAGTAAAATTGAAGCCAAGAATATTCCAGCGGTTACCCCCATTTGAATAGATGGCGGCCATATGGGAGTTTCCCACTCGCTAATAAACGCTTAAAAACAACAATAACTTTCATTATTTGAATAGTTTAAAAATGTATTTGGAATAGAATGAAATTTAATGAAATATTTGTCCAGGCTTGTCTAGATCAAAATTTCACTCATAAGGGGAAAGGTCTATTGTTGTAACAAGTTTGGAACAAGCTGTTAACAACTTGTAACAAGCTTGATGGCATTATCAGACTTATTACAAGGTTGTTCTAACAAGTCTGATACAGACATGATATAACAAGAACGTTGCAAGGTTGACGACACAAGGTTGTAACAATATTGTTATATCATGACTGTATCGGACTTGTTGAAACAACCTTGCAACAAGTCTGATAGCTTGTTACAATATATAATAGTTTTGTTTGTGGAAACACCACGTAAATTTATTACTGCAAAGCTTTCGATCCGTAAGCCCAGATCTTCATCAGTGCTAATAATAACTTGTTACAAGTTGTTAACAAGTTGTTCCATATTTGTTGACAACTTGGGACAAGCAGTGCGAACACAACTTGTTGACGGCTTGTTGGCAGACTTGCTACAAGATGTTAGATTTTTGCACGTGTAACCACAGTGCTACCAGCATCATATAATAATGCATATACAAGGAAATGACAAAGAATAAATCTTACTTGATACGTGTGATGAACATTGGATTTTCCCTGGGCAAAGGCAGAAGGAATCCAAATATTAATCAAAGGTCGCGTGTTGACTGAAATCAAGCGAGGACCAAAGTCATCTAAACTTGCTGAATCATCATGGCTGCCATCATCGGGAAGCTGAAATATTAAATTACTAAATATTTTCTCAACTTTTTAAATTAATGAACAAAACGTGGCCTGGCGATTTACCCCAGACTGTGATTCAGCCAAGCATTATCTACACACGTAAAAACGCACAAGTTGTAACAAACCTGCAACAGACTTGTAGCAATGCTGTTCCAACAACTTGTTATCGTTCTGCAATTCAACAATTTGTCAACAATTTGTGAGTGACAACCTTGTAGCAACTTGATAAAATAGCAGCGTTGTTACAACTTGTTGACAAGCTTGCTACAAGCCTGTTGCGAACACATCTTGTTAACAAGTTGAGAGTGACAACCTTGTAGCAACTTGATAAAATAACATGAGCATTGTTACAACTTGTTGACAAGCTTGCTGCAAGCCTGTTGTGAGACTTTTACGTGTGCAGTGAACAACAAAAACATTACCGGTCCTCTGAGATCGATCAACTCCTCTCTCAATCGTCTCAACTGATGTTCACGGATATTTAACATTTTTTGTAATCTCTCGTTCAACTCAATCAATTCACCATGCATGTCCGCGACCTGTGGAAAACAGTAATAAATGAAAATGATGAAATTAATGAAAATGATACTGCAGTAAATGAAAAGAGAAAAGCATTTCTGGCGTTACTTGAATAAGCTTTCTTTCGAAATCCCTTTTTTCTTCATCGCTTAAAAAAGAAAAAAGGCCGTTACTAGATCCCTAGGAACAGTTTAGAACTGATACAGCTATCTAGTACAAATTCATTTAGTTTAGTTTAGTTTAGGTTTCCTCTTGTAGTAACACTGGATCAACAAGAGACGGTTCTTACCGGACCTCTAGGGAGAATAGTTTAGAATTGATAGAGCTATCCAGTATAAATAAAGTAGTTTAGTTTAGGTTTCCTCCTGTATTAACACTGGATCAATAAGAGATGATCCTTACTGGAGCTCTAGGAAGAACTGATAGAGGTATCCAGTATAAATAAAGTTCCAGATCTCATTAGAAACTTCGTTTGATGAAGTACCTGGCCTGGTCGTGCGGTTCGTCAGCCAATACAGGAAGATCATCCAACTGACGTGCTCCAGGAACAGCTAGATAAAAAAAGAAAGCACTTCGGCTAGTAACTGCGTAAGTGAGGTGTACTAATCATCCTTACTTGGAGCTGAGAGCTAAGCTGAATTGCGAAGGACGCAGCTCAACCTGATCGAGTCGAAGGCTTTCTAAGGGAGCCTCTGGTAGCCACCTTATGACTCATGTCTGACCACGGAGCACAGCTACAGTGGAAGGGTCAGTTAGTTAGGGGGAATAATCTCAACCCACCCTGTCAAAACATTCCCTGTGGGAGGAAACCGGGGTACCCGAAGAAAACCCACGACGTTCGGTAGAGCGTTGACTGACTCTCTTCACATAAGTGTCATGAGCGATTCCGCAGCACGAATCGAGTCCACGAAGGAGGGTGTTATTATGAAGGGCCTTCGCTCGAAACGTCGAAATTATATTTTTCAGGTAGTTGCATTCCTAGCAACGGAAGCTTGTTCATATTATTGGCACTACCTACACTGACACAGACAGTTCAAACTTAAACACAAACCTACCGATGTCTGAAGGCTCGTTTCTTCGTAAAGATTGAACTGCAGCAACGTATTTCTTAAGTTGATGTTTTAAAAGATCATTTTCACTATAGTAACACAAAGAGCAGTCAATTCATGGACCCGCTGTGCATTAAAACTATCCAATTACTGTAGTATGCGACTAATTAAATTTACTAATTTATAAGATCTATTAAGATCATTTATAAACTGTTCTGTTCATTTGATAAACTGTTCAAACCTTGTGAGAGCGTGAACAGTTGCATGATGAGTTTCAGTCGAAGATGAAAGATCTCGTTTTAAATCGTCCACTTGTAAGCGAAGCGAGGCTGATTCCATCATTTCTTTATCCAGCAGTTGTCTTAAAGATCTAAAATAACAAAAGATTCTCATTGAAGGGGAGTTTTTAGCGCAGTAATTAATGCATGAACCTTGCCTGATAATAATTTTGCCTCACTGCTCTGGCCTCAGTGAAAAACTGCATCTCTTTATATCCTTTTTCCTTTATGTCTCAGAAACGATATATGCTTGATATGCACCTACTAGTCAAATTATCACAAGCTACCAGCAGAATATGTAATATGTAATGATTATGCATACGATTAAAAAGCATCCACATGCACAGCTACCTGTTACATTCTTCAACTTCATCTTTTCTTAGCATCATGGAAACAATCGCTTGTTTTAGTTCACCTAAATGAGAAATGGTGCAATTGTTCAACGTCTACTTAAGATACATAAACGGTTTATTTACGAGCTTTTGCTCTTCATTCTTCCTCTCAAAGATTCATTTTCCCATTCTTTCTTTCTTTCCTTTATTTTTCCCCTCCCTCTTTCCAAGAGTAATGAAATTATGAAACTATACATTTCACTGACTTTACATTGTAACAACTAACAAAACTTTGATTAGAACGGCTAAATATTTGCTAAACCATTCCATTGTATTCTTTACGGACCTGATGTCATTTCCTTGGTACTTGACGACTCGCTGGGCGGCTAGAAGAGTAAAATTAACCACTTGAACATTCTTAGCAACATGTGCAAAAGTACAAACATTGTTACAATGGACCATTTGCATTATGGACTAAATTTTGATCTAGACAAGTGTAGACAAAAATTTCATCACAGCATCACACAATTAGTAATATTCCAAAGTTTCGTTGCGAAATGTTGTAAAATGCGGATAATATAGCCCTGCGAAGTTTGCCGTTTTTCAGTCATCTTGTATTACGCACGGAAAATTGACAGCTCAATCGGGTGCTGGGGCATCAATTTCCCGTTTGTAATACAAAATGACTGAAAATTGCAAACTTCGCAAGGCTATATTATCCGCATTTTACAACATTTCGCAACGAGACTTTGGAATACTACTAATTTTGTGATGCTCTTTCAAGCTGTGATGAAATTTTCGTCTAGACCAAAATTTAGTCTATAATGCAAATGGTCCATTATAACAATTGCTTACGCTCATACGACCGTCTCCCATGGTTCTAACAAGCGCTGAGCTGGTGAAATCCGCCATTTCTTGAGTTGCAGAGATCGCAGCTGCAGTTGCACCAATCGCCCAGCTCGTATCGTCACTGACATCCTCATCTGTACAAATGCTAAATTGACAAAAGGATAAAGGACGGGCTTGATTATATTAACAACACAAAATAAATCATGAGTGTGAAGGAGTTTGTGTATCTGATACACGATGTATAAAGAACAGATCATAGTTCTATACTTATACTATTGTAAACCACTGTTCTAGTAGCTGTATCCGTAGAATATTTTTATATATAGTATCACTTTACCTGTCGAAGACTGCAGACTGGCAGTCGAAAGCTCGTGTTAAAATAAACTTTACAATAAGAGAACGTTTCAGAAACTTTATTATGAATCCTGGTCGCGCATCTTGCATTTTTAAAATAATGCTGATTTACATAAACTTTAAATTTTTCTTAACAAATATTATATATTTATTTTAATACGAATATTCTCATCAAGACTTTTCATGTCCGTGTTGTATCGGATACACAAACTCTCGCCTTCGGCTCATGTTGTAAATAGTACTTATTAACTAGACTGTATGTATTTTTTTTGTGTTAGTGTAATGTACTCAGGTGAATATGATGCTTGTGATGTTACTCTGAGTGTTTATCCTACCGGGTAAGCTTGGAAAATATGCCTGGCCACGGTGGAAAACGAACCTACGACCTTTGGAATACCAGCCCAATGCTCTGCCAACTGAGCTACGCGGGTCAGGTCGGTTCGAGTATGTGATATTTCGGAACCGAATCTATTTCCTTCGATATCAATGTAATCTAATAATCATGATATTTGCTGTAATGTACTCAGGTGAATAAGATGCTTGTGATGTTACTCTGAGTGTATATCCACACCGGGCAGGCTTGAAAAATATGCCTGGCCACAGTGGGAGGCATACTTTTCAAGCTTACCCGGTAGGATAAACATTCAGAGTAACATCACAAGCATCATTAGACTGTGTGTAGTCGATTGATTCCAGACATTGGACGTACCTTGAAACAGGTGAATCTCGACTTGAGCCTGCAAACAGTCTTGATGTGACCGGAAATCCCACACCACCTTCGTTCCCAGGACTTTCGCTATCATCAGACTCTGCTAGAGCCCAGGCCCTCGCCTCATCCGGACACGCCACTGGAGTAAGCGCAACACCGCTGTTCAAATCTACCAGTGGCTCATCTATTGTTTCATCCAAAAAACCACCCGATGTGTGTTGCTCAGAATTTTGAGCAGAGCTAGAATTCTCTAAGCTTATGCTTAGCCTGGGTGCACTACTACGTCTGTTTTCCTTAGACTTGGCAGTCTTTTCCGGTACTTTCTCTTTGTATGAATAAGAATCTTCATTCCCAGTAATAGTTGGTGTATTACTAAGGCCGGTTTGGGTCCTAGCACCAAATTTGGTGTCATAGTTTTCTGTTTTTGAACTCTCAAAACTACCTAATTCCTTCTGGTTTTTGTCCGTTTTATCTAGCAAAGCGTCCGTGCCCATTTCGGGAACAACTTTTGACTCATCTTGTGCATTTTGAAAGACGTTAAAGCCAGAGTTGATATGAATTTCATTCCAGTCGGCACTGCCAGTTCTTGAATTTTTGTCAGCAGTGTCTTGAGCACTACTAACAGAGTTCGGGCTACTTTGTGAATTTTCGTAAATTTCTCGGTATTCTTTCGTAGCATTGGGCGCCTTATAGTTGTTAGCATCGTCTACTCTTCGTGAACTTTCGGAAATCTCTCGGGCTCGATTTGTCAGCGTGAGTGATGTGTTAGCAGCAGAGTTTGAATTTCCATTGCTTTCGTGAGATGTTTTTGATTCGTCGCCATTTTCTTCGTCGTCAAATTCGATATTTTCAATCTGGGCTATGTTTGCTTTCTTCTTTTTCCGTCTTTTCTTTTCTTTGGCTAAAATATGAAATAATTAATTTAGGTTTTCTCTCCTAGCAACCAGTAAGGTCATATAAGGGAGGACCCTGGTTCTTACCATATCATTGCATTCGCTTGACCTCTAGAAAGAGGGATATCAAGTGTAAATAAAGTTAGTTTAGTTTAGGTTTCCTCCTGTAGTAAAACTGGATCAATAAGAGATGACCCTCACTGGACCTCTAGGGAGAACAGTTTAGAACTGATAGAGATATCGAGTATAAATAAAGTTAGTTTAGTTTAGGTTTCCTCCTGTAGTAACACTGGTTCAATAAGAGATGATCCTTACTGGACCTCTACGAAAACGGTTTAGAACTGATAGAACTATCCAGTATAAATACAATTTAGTTTTGATTTCTTCACGTGGGAACATTTACTGAGACTTACTGGACCTTTCCGAGAACGGTTTGAAACTGATACATAATTATACAGTATCATTCGTTAGAAACTAACGTAAAAATTCAGGAAAGATTTTATATCTAGTAAAAGTACAGATAGTTTAGTCTACTTTTCCAACTGTAGTAACACTGAATCAAGCGATAGCCTTTACTGGACCTCAAGAGATACAGCTAGAACTAGAACTATAATTTATAAATAAAGTATCGAATATACCTGGAGCGCCCGAGAGGGCGTACATCGGTGAAGGAGCTTTCCATGCTGAAATTTGGACAACTGGAAGAGGAGCTACTAGAATATTTGAACCACTGCTCGTTGTACCCTAAATGTAAATTTAAATTTGAATCTCAATTTGAATTTGAAGATGGATATGGACACACAGACTGTCACGGGTAATAATGTCAATAATAGGCCTACTCTGGGGCAGTAACTTGCACGGAGAAATTTGACAATTTTAACCTGCGATTTAAGGCGAGTTTAGACCCCAGAGTATAGGCCTAATAATGATGCCATCTACTGATCTAGTTACAATCCAGTGATTGGAATGTTCCATTGTCTTTTCATTGTTTTGAAAATGCCATTGTTCTCCACACCATATCAGTCATGATATAGTGATCAGAATGTTCCATTGTCTTTTCATTGTTTTGAAATCCCAATGTTTCACTGAAGATCAGTTACAGCCCTTCCTTCAACTTAGAAGATTCGTTCTTCAATCTACTCCACTTTGAAAGGGCTTCATAATGTACAGTACTTCTCACCTGCTTGGAAACATTAAATTCAGCGTTGTCAATATTAATGGCAAAGAGAATTGAACTCAAACCTAAAATTGTGAAAAAGTTTCTCTTGCAATTTGAAACATTTGGTTCATCATATAAATTACTGGAAAACAACTTGAGATTCCAAAGACTGTCTGAAATTAGTCTGAAATACACTGTATGCATTTAATCTTGTGAAATGTCCTACCAGCGGCCATCATTGGTAGCATACTGGATCGTTCTTCGTCCATTAACAACGCATCTTGTCCATAGTAAGCGCTAAACAACATACATATTTGGAAATTACTTTTCGTTCAACTCATTAAGCTGCAAAATGCGCTGATACTTTACGTAACAGACAATACAGCAGTAGGCATTATCACCTCATAGCTTTTCATGCCTATCCACCTAGTATATAACTTGTGATTATTTCACTTTCAATTCTTTTAAATTATATTTATTTGGCTTTGTTTTGCTTACATATAAGGGAAGGTATTTCGGCTACACCACTGATATCCTAGAAATGTCTACATTGAAGTGTTTTTCATCTTTCGTTGCTATTTCAGACACATTAAACCATATCAGCTTTTTAATGAATATTTCAATCTGTCTGAGACCTGAGAATTTTGTCAAGAGACCCTTGGGCAATATATACTCATATAATTTACTGCCATAAAAACATGAAAATATCACTGATCGGAAAATATCTGTAAAGCCTTTGTCAAGTAGGATGAGAGTTGATGAGTGTTGGCAAGTTAGAGTTTGCATGAGGCTTTTTTCAACTCTGATGCCTGTAAAAACGAGAGCAAGAGTTGCAAGATTTGGCTGGATATTAGCAGTTGATGAGAAAAGCTCTCATCAAATTTTAAACCAGTTAAAAGTTGAGAAAAGTTGATAGTCAAATACAAGCAAGAGTATTAGAGATACTTAAACTGTCTGTACCAGTGTGGGCAGTACCAATGTAGAAATGCTGACCTCCCCCCCCCCCATTTCTTTTTTAATTAACCAAAATTGCCCGACTGTTCAGCGAATATTGCCCGAATGCCCAACAAACTGGGGGGGCTGCCGCCACGAAGGGCCTTCCCTCGAAATGTCGAGTTTCTGCTTATTTTTTAAGGTAGTAATATAACCACTCAGCACAGTATTAGAGATACTGCAATGAGTAAAAAATGCAATAACTCCAGATGTAGGGCCTTAACTTGAAAAAATTCTCCTTATATATTTTAAAAGCTTGTTCATTTGATTGGCACTCACCTACACTGGCAAAGTGTCTTATACATGTCAAATATATTTCATTACCTCAGAAGCTGCCTGTTACCAAGGAAACTATGCAGATATTTCTCAAGCGATTGTTCATTCAAAGTTGACCTTAGCCAAGCATGAGCTGCAACATAGATATTTACAATACTAATTATTAATTTCAAAAATACTTTCACATGACGGCTTTAATATAGACAGCAGCCTTGGTATAAAGAATGTCAGATGTGTATTGTCTATCTCCTTTTACTGAAGTACATATGCCCCATTTATGCTAAATCTGCATGTGCATTAAACATTATAGTGTTCTAGCTGAGCATGGTTTTAAATTTAAGGAATGATGCCTGTCAACCATTTGTTGTTGTGCTCATAGTGGGACATGGGTGTTAAGGTTTCCTTCAAATTTTCAATAGCAAATCTTCATTCAAACGAATTTCCTGCAGCTGTTTAACATTTCTTGCGAGCAGTGCTTGCCTAATTTTTCCACCCCTGTTTATAATTGTGGTAAAAATTTACTTAAATTCTGTATTTCTTCTGTTGATATTTATCTTTAGATTTTAATTTATATTTATTACGCTTACAACATAAGCTGCACAACACTTTTTAAAAAAATTAACACAAAGAAAAAATCACAGAAATTTTTCAAAATTTCTGCAGACTACTGCCAATACCAATTCCATAAAAAAATTACACTACAGCAAAAAACTGCCATTGTTGTCACCAGTGATCCACAGCATTTTCTTCTCGAACTATACAGCATTTTCCATGAGTGCCGCAATAACAGCTTTCGGACACCAAAGTGGTTTTGCATTCAAGACTGGTGCCGGTATTAAATTATGTGAAGGCTTTGTGTCTAGAGTAATTTGTTAACCCCTTACCTCTCCCAGCATCAGTGTTGACATTCTGCAAAGAATTAAATCTTCGAGTTTCGGTTGCACTGAGATGTTCTTTCACAAATTGCCAGAACACTGACTGTCCTTCGGTTCTGAGCAAAACCTGGCCAGTAACATGCCTGAAATGTATGATGGCTTAAAGTAGCTTTGGCAAACATGTTACCTGATTGTCTGCCTGACCGTCCAAGCAAGCAACCAACAAACCAAATAACCAACTGACAGACAGACAGACTTACTGACTGACAAACCAACCAATGGGTTTACAGACTGATTACAACCAAGTGACGCAACCAACCAACAGACTCACTGACTGACTGACTGATCAGGCTTAAAAAAAATGCCTGTGGTTCCGGTTTCATATCGTGAAAAAATTAGGGTCGGTAGGTCGGAAATAAATTTTTTTTGAATATTTATGGTTTTGGCAGTTTTTTGCTGGGCGATTTTCAGTAGAGTCCCCTGACATCAATATTAATTAGAGATGCATATTTCCTATGGACGATTTTCAGGCAATTTCATTCAATAATTAGTGTGACAACAGACACCATTTTGGCACGCTGTATGAGCAGCCTGCAACCACCCAGAGAAAATAGGGTCGCACAGTCAATCGTATTGAAAAAATAATAGGGTCGGCAGAAAAAAATAGGGTCGATAGGGAACCGGAACCACAGGTATTTTTCAACAAACCGACAGACTTTCTGACCAATCAACGGGTTGACTGAATGACAAATTTAAAGATGCAAGCTCACCTCAACGGATTCATCTTTTTACTTAATTTCAATCCAAACTGCAAGGCTGTCACCCACTGAGCACAAAGGCAAGAAATTCTGAATTTGCAATGAACAAAGAAATTGCTGTAGCAATTATAGCAGATATTAACCTGTTAAGCCACAGAGCTTCCCCATTGACGAGTAAATCGTCTGGCGTTAGGCAAGTAAAAGAAATAAGTAGGACACACTGGGGTGCATTGCGGCTCAATGGGTTAACTAGAAGCATTGTCAGCTTTTTGGTTAACCTGTTAAGCCACAGAGCTTCCCCATTGACGAGTGACATCATCTGGCATTAGGCAAGTGAAAGAAATAAGTAGGGCGCATTGCGGCTCAATGGGTTAAAATTATATCGAAGTTTACAGATAAAAACTATGAATAATAAAAAATTTCCACATTATGAAATCGGAGAGGGATGGCTGTTGAATAATAAAAAACGCTGGGAAATTTCTAAAATCTCAGTTTGTCAACTGCCACTCTGGGGTTGGCAGGCCAGTCATGGGTAAAATATATCGAAGAAAATATTAAAATATAGAGAGATACCATACCTGCTATCCTTCTCTGAGGCCAGTTCAGTTTTTCCACCAAATCTTATTTGACACTAAAAATGAAACAGTTCTTTTATAATTTCCTACTTTAAAAATTATAAATTTCCTATTTTAAAAATATAAATTAAAAATAAAATTATACATTTTGTTTACAAATTTTAAAACATAGAAAAATAACAGTTGATTACGATTCAATACTCGTTTGTAGATGGAAATGATAGAAACCCTTCAACTATTATTCAATCGATTGAGATGTCAACAAAATCAATAGAAAAATATTAAAATCCTTTCAAATATTATAAACAAGATCAAATCACTCGCCTGTTTGACTGCATCTAGCAAACGATCAATTAATGTTTGCCTCACGATGTCTTGACCTCCTGATAGGGAATTCGACATAATCGTTTCTTTTATTATTAAAGGAAATTATTTAAAATGAGAAACTAAAAACAAAAGACCATTTTTTTATTATAATTCTGAAATCTGAAAATGAAAACATTCCATATTGAGCCCGTGATGTGTTCACATTTATATCAGGATACTTTGTGTTGTTTTGATATAAGGTAGCACTGATCTCAAAATAATTTTGGAATACTTGTCACAAAACGTTAATAGATCTTTTCGTCGATAACGACGCCATTTTGAATCGCAATGCATTGTGGTCTAGCCATGATAAAAGCCAGAATAGCAAGCTGTTTGCCTCATTCGAAGATCAGTTACAACTTGTTAGCAACTTGTTAACAAGTTGTTGCAACTTGTTAACATGTTGTTGAATACCGGCCCTGTTGCAACCTATAAAAACTTCGCAACACTTGTTGGAAAAATCTTGTACAATGTGTAACAAACTATCAACAAGCCAGATGCAAGCAACAAAATTGCTGCAACTTGCAACAAAATCTGATTTCAACGCATGTTAATTGAAAATGTTTACACATAAATTGCAAATCACGAGGCAACATGTGTCAACATTTTTACTTAACATGCGTTGAAATCAGTTTTTTGTTACAAGTTGCAGCAATTTTGTTGCTCGTATTACTCCAGCATTAACAACTTTTCAACAAGCAGTACAAACACTGACCTAATATCAATAGCTTGTTGGAACAATCATCTTATTCAAGCCCAGAGATGCTAATTAAGGTTCAGTGATAGGCTAACTGGAGATTTTCTCGAACGAGTGATCTGGGGGGCGCCCTCCTCCAGAAAATATTTTTAATCTGTATTCTCCGAGATCACTTTTTCTACATTCCTGAATCATTTAATGACACATTTTACGTACTGATGTTTCAATGTCACGTTTGTGATAATTGTTGCAAATATGAACTATTTTGAACACAATACAATATATCCACGTTCTATTTTAAAGGACTTAATAGAGAATTTCCTTACTAGAGATTTTGCCTGCAAGCCGGAGAGATGGGAATTGAGCCCAAAAGCTGAAGTCTGACATCTATGTATGGGGCCATGTAAGCTCATGTAGACTTAACAGTTATAGTATACAACAAAACTTTTCCATGAAACAATATAGTCTTACAGACATTTTCGAGTCCTTTCCAAGATATTTATTTTTAACATCATATTTATATATTATATGTCTAGTCCATGGTTTATTTTAAGATAAATATTCGCTCACGTATTTCACAAAAAGTCCAGCGGTACATTTAGCAGTTACGAATTATTTAAATAGTACATAAATATATAGAACGAAAATATAAGCCATATTTATAATGCGCTTTCTATTTATACATGGTCAGAACCAAAATACCGTAGAGCAGAAAGACTTGTCAAATTTCGAGAACTCTGAACGCACCTCCACCCACGTCAAAACCAGTGGCAGAAATGTCGGGGAGGGGGCAATAGCTCCCCACCAACACAGCGGAAAATACACCATCTGTCGGAAATAGTAGCCTAACCCGAAAATGGTCAAAACAGCCAAATTTGAGTGCAATTGAATTCTCGGACCACTGGTCAAAACTTTCCACGCAAAATAAAAAAGCGCAAAAAAATTGGCTTAGTACAAAAGTCTACATAAAGTAATCTGAATAATATGCGTGCAAATCCCTGGAAACTCATGAAAAGACTCTATCCATGTATAACATTACATAACAATGCTCAACATTGCGTACACAAGCGTAACAATGTTGCAGAAGCCAGCAACAGTTTTGAAACCAGCCCCTGACGCCGGTTGTACTATCTCCTCATTTGTTCCCTCTTGACAGTTATGGCAGGTTACCGCTTCGATTGTAAAGCGCGCGTTTCTTGTATTCGCAAGCACAGAAACATACACGCGTTCCATTCCGTCTTCGGCCACCGATCGTTTCACGATGTTGGTCCGATTCCGTACCGCAATCACGACGACTTTGTCCTTTTGAACGGAATGCGTGAAACCAATGTCATGATCGTGTTTATAAGGATGGGGGTTGCTTCGCGAAACGTATAACAATGTTTGTCCGACTTTATCGCTTACTTGGATTTGGAGCATGGATTTCGGCTTGGCTTTGTAAACGAAATATTGAAACTTAGATTTCGGGCTTGACATTTCGACACGTCTTCGGAGGTTGACGGGTTGGGGCTCATTACAAGTCGCGGCCGTTATTGTCGAGATAAATGTCTCTAGCTCGACGAAAGTGTTTAGCGTGTACACATGTTCTTGCGACGAAGCAACTTCAAATAACTGTAGCATATCACATTGTCCAACACCAATGGCGTACACGACAATATTCTTTTTGTGCAGTCGTTGCGCGGGAATTAGGACCGAATCGTGCGATTGTCCGTCCGTGATCACGATCAGCACACGCGGGATTCCGTAACGTTCGTCTCTGAGTCCCTTTGCCTCGCTGAACTGGTCCGATACGCGTGTTAGCGCGTAACCCAGCGACGTAGTACCCCCATGCTTCCGAATGCCATTTACGGCTGCTTGATATTGCGAATGTGAACTATAGCTCGAGAGATGAAAATGCGCCTTGTACATGTAGCTGAACGTCGAGAGCGCCACTCTGGTGCCGTAACTATCCCGCAATTTTGCACTAGAAAACGCGTTCGTAATATTAACCACGAATTGTAGACTTTCTGCAAAATTTCGATCGGTAACACTGCCCGATTCGTCTAGCAATACAACGGCGTCTAATGATCGACTACACTTATTCAAAGTGGCTTCGATGATATCCGCTTCGTCATTGCGGCGTCTCAGATCTTCGATGCGTTGCACAAGAGGGGTCTTATAGAAGTCCCTGAGGCTTGCCACGGCTCTCTCCCAGTCATTTTGGATCGCGTACGTCCAGAAGTCCGGGTACGCCTCTGGGCGACCTAGCTGAAACCATAAGCTCACCATCGCCGTTCGAATTCCCCGCTCCAGCGAGATGAAAGCGGTAGATCCCGGGGTTCGGTCAAAGTTGTATCTTTTTTCGACTTGTTTAACGAGGTAGTCTTTCACCGCATTGGTGAGGGTAAGCGCTTCGTTTGAGAAGAGGGTTAGGGGTTTCTCGATGGATGCACAAGCGGCTTGCTCTTGTCTTAACCCCAAGTATGGTTTCAATTTTGTGTAGATAGAGATATCTTTAAAATAGAATGTTAATGTTAGAGATCATTTATACCCTCCTATAGAGTCAGTTTACATATTTCAATGAGTAGATCTATAACTAACACCATCGTGTTCAGCAGATGGTAACCTGCGAGTATCACAAAGATGTTTATTCTTTTAATTATATCGGTGGAAGAAAACAAATTAGAGAGATGTACTTAATTTGCTTGCTGCTCTAAACGAGTCGACTATCTATAAACATTACTTATAGATGGCTTTCGTTCAGTAAGCGATGTGGGATTGCCGCAGTGATGGCGTTCAAATTCAGAAATGCCGACAATTCCATGAGCAAGCCAATTCATACTACTCTCTCCTTTCTTATTTCACCTCAAACACAAAACTACATCTTCCGAATAGGAAATACATTATTTTCTCACTCTGGTAACAGCAGGTTAACTATATCATCTACAGTATACGATAGTTTAGCCAAACCCACCTATATAAAGGCATTCTTAATGAGGGCTTTTGATGTCAGATATCTGCTAAAATTCAAACCATTTGCCAGTAAGATCTTTTGTACAAGATGTCGGTTCCAAAACGACTGTTGCATTGTATATGCGGGCAAATGCCAGTGTTCTTTAGGTGGGTGTAACTAAGCCCTATCGTGCAACATATAGTGGTCAAACTGCAGTGATCAGAGTGAGAAAATAACGTTAATTATTTCCATTATATGTAGTGATATTGTATTTGAGGCAAATAGAATTGAGATACAGTTAAATCTTGTTACTCCTATAAATGCCAACATTTCTTAGTTGAAACTTTTTGTATGTGTTGGTGTCATGTACTCAGGTGAATATGTTTGTGATGTTACTCTGAGTGTTTATGTATCCACACCGGGCATGCTGAAAAGTTTGCCTGACCACGGTGGGAATCGAACCTGCGACCTTTGGGATACTAGTCCAATGCTCTACCAACTGAGCTACGAGGTCATGTCGGTTCGACTTGGTGATATGTCGTGCAAAGCTTACTGAAACTAAGTTATAGCTTACCTAAGTGATTGAACGCTCCGGAGTTCTTCTCGGTGGAGCCCAAATCCACACCGCCGCCTATTGTGACACCGCTACCGCCAAGAACTACTCCAGTTTCGGGATTGATAGGCACATACCCGCAAGTGGAGAAACTTTCGTGGCAAATAATGAATTCGGAGTAGACCAACGGTTTGGCAGTCGCTGTGCCCTCGGGGATGCCAGATTTCCATGAACGCTGACACGCCGATGGAGTTGTCGTGAAACAATTCACGGGCACATGTGGAAAATGCACGTATTCTGACGGGATGTACGTCCAGTTACAAGCATAAGGCACAGCTCGGCTCGTGGCTAGGACATAGGCGAGCGATAGGAATACTCCAAACAGCATTGTCCGTCACAAATTGATCCACTACGTGTTCAAGGTGCTAGCTCATGACATAAAATGCGAATGAGAGCTCTCAGCAGGTAAAATATAAGCGATATAGATAGATCAAAACAAACATTGGTGGCATAGGAACAAGGACGCTGTATTCAACCCTGATGTTCTAAGGCTTTCCAAACATGTCCTTGGTGCAATTTTGAATCAATATGTAAACCGCTACTGCTTGCATCACGTATAATTTTACGTCGAACGAATATACCGAACATGCGACAAAGTAGACCTTTACGTAACACTTATATAGCAACACATAACAATTTAGTGCATTCAGTTCACATGCAATCTAGGGATCAGAATGTTCCATTATCTTTTCATTGTTTTGAAAATCTCACTGTTCTCCATGCCATCTATAGTCATTTGTTCATTTCATTTATATTCTAGCATCTATGCAAAGGTCTATTGGATACGATTCTCGATGCAAAGTTTCGATCAAACGTTGTAATTCTCATTGGTAATTAATGAAGAAAATGCAAAGGAAATCAGGATTGTGAAGAATCCTGCAGATTTTTATACATGCATGGTATAAATTCATCACGAAATTAATATCATTCATGTCTTTGAAATTAATATCATTCATGTCTACAATACGAGTGCTCACATGCCGTGTAAATTCTTACCATTTCGAGAGAACTGGTCTATGCTCGAAAAATCAAATCTATACTTCGTAGGTCTGTATTTGTATATTTCATTCCTGCGGTCAAGTGTCACACTTGCGGCCAGGAAGATTTGGAAATCGAAAAATATCACGTATAACTACGGTACAAATCTGAGCACATTGTGTTCGTGTGTGTTTGTCTTGTCGTGAATTTAAAGAAGAAAATGCTTGGTTTACCTGGGGGAAATAAGGTCAATTCAGTGCAAGCATATAAGAGCTCTAATCAGTTAATTTTAATAAGGGTTTTTCACAAGCTCAAGCTCATTTAAATGTTACTAATGAAATAATTGAATAAAAGGAGAGTATTTAGTTTCGTGTATGTTGAGGTAATTATAGGAATATTTGACTTTTCCCTGTGTATATGTGGACATGAAAAACGTTTCACTGGAATATAAGGCAAAACAAGGGATGCGATGCCGAAGTGGTTAGCACACTTGCCTTTCACCTCTATGGTAGCTGGTTCAAGCCTCAGTGAGAACTTCTCAATGTGACTCGAACCCAGTCCTCGTGTGAAAAGAGTAAAAAGTCAACGCTCTGCCGAAAGTCGTGGGTTTTCTCCGGGTACTCTGTGTTTCCTCCCACAGGGAAAGTTGGCAGGGTGGGTTAGGCACATAGGTTAGGGGGCAGATCATTAATGAGGTATGGACTAATAGCGGCTGCTCAAGCGCCATTTGTAAGCTCAAAGTCTACCTCGGTCTGCTGCACGTCAGTCCGGTTCTATCTATCTAATCACAATGTAACCAGTCACTGAAAAGCCCTGATAGGGAGTGTGCTGTGAAATATCTGTATCTAAGTGTATGGCATAAGCTTCGACAAACCTGTAATCATATATTACAAATAACAAACTGCTGAGGTTGTCTAGATCACAACTGACGTATTAGAAAATATTGTAGTTATATGTGGTTTACCGGTATTCTTAGTGCACGATATTCAGTTGCTACCGCGGTATTGGTTTTGACGCGATAGCGATATCATGCATGGCTGTCATTATTTTATCTGATAAAACGTAGTTTAAACACACAACTTCCATTTTCGTTTAAAGCTCTTTATATTAGGATGAATTCAATTGACATTTTAACGGATTTTGAGCTGCATTTTATCATGCTAAAACATTATTAGATATATTTAAAAGTTATTTAGCATATGTAGGGTTTAACAATTCTTGTATTATAGAGCGCCGTCACTGTTGGCTTTCTAAAAATAAAGAAAGATATCGGCTAAGGCGTGTTTATGCCAACCCAATTCACATACATCTATATTTTATGCTTGGTTACCTTTATTCCATTCTATGCTTACACACATCAGAACAGTGGTAAACTAGGAATGTACATTATCCGTCTAAGTTATCCCTACTTACCTTCGCTACATATCCCTACTTGCCCTCATTTACCCTTGCAGGCATCCCTTTTTACCCCTCATTACCCTTACTACTTATCCCTACATGCACTCACAATTATCCCTATTTATCCCTACTTACCCTCACAGTTATCCTTGATTACCCTTGCAGTTATCCATATTTACCCCTTATTACCCTTACTTATCCCTACTTACCCCATTCTGTTCCGGTTCTTCCTCTTCATCATCAGCTTCCTCGTCATCATCGTCATCATCGTCATCTTCACCTTCACTCTCAAAGGTGTTGTTTGGAATGTCGTAAATACGGATCATACCCTGCATTGGAGATTGGAATTGCTTGTTTGTTAGCTGTGCGTGAAATGATTGATAAGGAAAAACCTTTTTAATACGATTTATTAAAGATTCATGAAAAACTTGCCTTATTTGGATCCTTGAGAATGAGATACTTGCCATCAGATAGACTTAGGCAATAATCCACAATACAACGTATTATTCCCCATCCATTGTCCATACTAAGGTTCATCTGACTAGCAAGCTCCCGAGGTCGGAATTGTTGCGTGCCCAAAATGCAGTGCTTCGTCGAGTCCATGAAATTCTTACGTGAAACATAACTACAGGAGAAAATACCAAGCATTGAATTTGGTTTTCGCGTGATATGAATTAAGGTCGAACTTTTTTGTTATCAACCGAAACCGAGGCATATGCACTAACAGTACGCCAGAACTCCCTTTTCAAATGGCAAAACTCCCTTTTCAAATGGCGAAACTCCCTTTTCAAATGGCGAAACTCCCTTTTCAAATGGCGAACTTCCTTTTTCAAATGGCGAAACTCCCTTTTCAAATGGCGAAACTCCCTTTTCAAATGGCGAACTTCCTTTTTCAAATGGCGAAACTCCCTTTTCGAATGGCGAAACTCCCTTTTCAAATGGCGAACTTCCTTTTTCAAATGGCGAAACTCCCTTTTCAAATGGCGAAACTCCCTTTTCAAATGGCGAACTCCTTTTTCAAATGGCGAAACTCCCTTTTCAAATGGCAAAACTCCCTTTTCAAATGGCAAAACTCCCTTTTCAAATGGCAAAACTCCCTTTTCAAATGGCAAAACTCCCTTTTCAAATGGCAAAACTCCCTTTTCAAATGGCAAAACTCCCTTTTCAAATGAAA